TATTTATAAGAACCTATTTTTTGGTTAAAATGTTGATTTTTTTTTGTGAAAAAATGCTTGCAAATACACCACAATTCCCCAAACACACTGCGAACCCCATCCAAACCCTTTAATTACGATTGTAGAACTCTCTTTTTCTAAAAAAAAAAAAAAAAAAATAATTAATAATAATAATTTGATGTTCATATAAACTCATTGTTTGTGGGGTTTACCAATATCCGGATTGAATTTCTGGAAAATTGTGATTCCGCTTCCTTGAAATTGGCCACAAATAAACTATTTTAGTATTAATAAATGCATGATTTATGTTGATTTATTGATTATGTTGTTGCTATTTTTTAACATTTAAATGGAAAAAAAAGTGTTATTCATGGCTTTTTTTTTATCTTTGAATATTTTATCATTGAATATGTAATTTCTGCAAAAAGTAAAATGTAAATGGCAATTTAGGCCTATTTGATGCTAGATTCCTTTAAAAAATTTAATTATTTCAGTTTAAAAATATGCATATTTTTAAAAATCAGTTTAAATACAAAATTTTATTATTAGGGCCATTTTCACCTACCTGTCATTTGGGGTCATTTTTACCAGGGCCATTTTTTCTGGGGCCATTTTTCCCAGGGCCATTCTTACCGTACACCGTGCCACATAGCCAGTAGTGGCACCAGCGGGCAGGGGAAATTTTCCCCTCCGTGGACCGTTGGACAGGCCTGGACCTTCCTGTCTCCAACACACGGCTAGGTCGTCGGATAAAATATTAAAAAAAAATATTAATAATTTGCCTATCCAAATAATGTTATTTTGATTGCCAATCCTTAATATTTTGCTTTAAAAGCACCTTTTGGACCATACTAAGCCGTAAAAAATTCTCCCAGTGAACCCCAAAAGGGTTTCGTCGGCCCATTGGTTGGGACCCCTCCTACGGACATGTCGAACCCATTGTCGACAAATTTCTGGCGCCACCGCTGTCTAGCACATTTCTACCTGCCATTGGAGATAAATAAAAATTATATATATATATTTCGCCTCCCCCTCACCCTTTAAGGATAAGGATTCTCACAGAAGAGGGTATGAAAACATATAATTACGGCACCTCCAGATTGCCGGAAATAACACTCTCAGACTTATATAATAATTTTCTCTTTTTTTCCTAATTCTTAAATAATTTTGAAAAATTTAAGATAGGAAATTGTCAAACTATTCCCCCACCCCGAATACCGTAACCGCCACTTCCGATGTAGTAGGTAAGCCGCGCCTACTTATCACCTATCGCATGCATGCGCCAATCAAAGACTTTTAAATGTAAGTCCTGTCTTAAAATTAACCTTTGACCCACACGTACGTATAGCGCCAAACTTTCGAAATACAACACATCACGGTGGTACTTTCCCACATCACGCACATCGTATGCAAGAAGGGTCGGTGGTTTGGTTGGTTAGTTAGAAAAAGAAAGTGCTTATTTTATCAGAACATTAGTAAACCAGTTTCTTTTGCTAAGCTACGCATAGAAAATGTAAGTTAAATGGGAGTTATAATTTTGAAAACTAAACTGACGCAAAATAATGCTAGGCCCCAAGGCCTCGTTCCAAGATACGAAGCCTAGGCCTAGGCTAGAGCATGAAGAGAGCTAGGCTAGGCCTAGACTCTTGGCATAGGCCTAGCTAGGCTAGCCTAGGCCTGTCTGTGTGATGGGAATTTCCCAGCAAATTTTCATCACAATGTTAGGGTTAGGCCTAGAGCAGAATACTAAAAAGTTCACTAGCATAGGCCTACATTACCTTTTTTTGCACTCAGCCTCTGTAATTAATGCATGTTGTTGATAATTATGTTGTGTTGTATTATTTATAATCTACAATACAAAACCATCACTGTTTTTTGTTACTGCTGTGTAGGCATCCCAGCTAGGCTAGGCCTGGTGAATAAATTGAGGAACCACACTGTAACATAAAAGGATACCTTAACCCTTTTCACTACAGGTTTCAGGAATGTTTTTTTAAATTTTTTTTAATGATATAATAATAATTAAATAAAGAGTAATAAAATTAATGTTTGATAACAATTGAAAGATAATAAAATGTTTTTCCTAAATAAAATATTATATACTGTAGTGTTGTGTAATTTAAAAAAAAATTATTTTAAGTAATTTTTATAATTAATTTTTATAAATAATTTTGAAAAAAATTAAAAATACTAAGTCAACAGCCAGAATAAAAAAATACATCTTCAAATAAGCACAAATTATTTTTTACAAAATAAAACTAAATTTATAATCATTAATCAAGAACTTTGGAATATAAAAAATAATATAAAATTAGGGTGGGAAAACCACACCTAGTAATCTTTCAAAGTCCAGTTGGTGTCAAAAAAATTAAGAAAAAATATGAAAAGACATAACTGTTGAACTCTTGAACTTCCTGTTTTTTGGTAACCTGCGCAATCCTCATGTTGAGATCGGTGACAGCATAATGAGCAAATCCAATCTGTACCTTACAATAATAAGTGTGACAATGTAATACCCTCTAATACCAATACAGTCTACTGCTGTACAATAGTAATTTTTTGTTTGAAAAGTGTGTGAAATAACAAACGATAAAACATTGCTTGTTTTTAAACTTGAGCTTGAAAACAGCAGCAAAAAAAAAAAAGAACACTGGACTTGGACAAAATTTTTCTGGTTCTTAGAAAAAAGAAGTGTAGGTAGTGCAAGTGTACATTGTCGCTGGCTGTGACACCCCTTCCCTCTCTCCCGCAGCAGTCCGTCTTGAAGTGTAATCGCTGATGTTTATCTTGGCGATTTGTGCTTCCTTAAAACAATAAACATGTCAAAGGTAAGTAATTTGCTTTTGAGTCAAACATTCTTTTAAATCAAGTCAGGGTTTTGTACACTTGTAATTTAGTAAATGTGTTTTTGGCAATTTTAACCATCTCCTCAAATGCACTATTATTATACTATGATAATTATTGTAGAGGACTGTTTATGGTGTTAGTCAAGACAAAGAGGAGCCATGCATCTGAGGTTGAGGGAAACACGCAAGTTTCATCTCTCCGGATTCGGCGAGTCAGAACGAGACCAACTTGTCAGATATGTTTTGGATCTTAAGGCGCAATATTTAGAGTCAAGGGTTAGTAAAGCATGACAACTTTTTTGTTTTGTGACTGTACAGTTACATTTACACTCAAACTTAATCCTTGCTTGACGTGGCATCTGGTTCCAACTAAAAAAAAACTCAAGAAACTCAATACAGTAGTCAAAACCAACCCTACCAGTCATTTGTCTGTAATCTGTCAATGGGAGATACAGGTCAATACATGGTTTTGGAAGGTTGATAATTTTGATTTCTATGCATTGGAAACATTGTAATGGACATAATGTGTGTAATACATATAGACCATGTCTGACCCCGGAAACAGGAAATCAATTTTAGATGAGATTATTAAAAATTTTTATGACATGTGTCTGTGTGCTAAATTTGTAATCTAAGAAACTCAATAACTGTATACATATTGGTTTTTAATTTGGAGTTTAGATAGTTTGGATATGTCATTGATACACTATTTTTGTAGTTCTATTTTTTTTTTCTTTATTTAATTGAAGCAAAATAGGGTATTTAACCGCCAATGTTTATAAGCTAAACTTTTTAAAAAATAAAATATAGTAACATTTCGCCCAGTCTTCTTTAAATAGCTGTATAAACTCCTGTAAGGTAAAACTTCATAACAAAATGTTGAGGAGTGACTAGTTTAGCTTGTTTTTGCCACATATTTCCTCCATAGTCTTCTGATGAAGTCCACTGTGGGAACAAAGCTAGAGAATAAATTCTATATTGTTAGTCTCAAAAGTGCTGCTGTCATTTATTTTATATTCCTCCATAGTATAATGAGTAAACCATAGGGTGAAGCATGGAGGTATGGGTCAAGGACTTTTAACGTCCTTGATTGGGTATCATCAACATACCTGCTTTACACCACATGTCAAAATTAGAAGTCAATCCCTTTCCCTGATGAATCTGTATTGAATAGACCATGTGCACACAAGTGAATGTATTATAAACAATCTCTATTAATATGGAGATAAATGGAAATTTTTTTCCCTATTTTTCCTCAACAGTTTTACCAAAACTTGAACTACTCTAGTGTATTTCAATTATGTGATTTGTTAACTTTACAAACATTGTTTTTGTTTGACAGGATTATCTGGCAGAATGCACGCATATTGTTAGTCAACGACCAATGAGGAGTGAGAAATACTTATGTGGTTGTGCTGCTGGTAAGTGTTTTTACTATTATTAAATGAAAGTGGAATAATTCTGGTATAGTACTTTAATAAATGTGCTGTTGGGACATATTTCCAATGTTCATTTTGTGATTTAAATAGAATTAAGATGAATTAGGATTGACAACATTCTAGCATGCTTCCACAATATTACAGATATCAGACTCTGTCTAGATTTTCAAATTTGCTTTGACAAAAATCTGTACTATGCTTATATGCCGTATAGTTATTATATAATAATAGTAATAGTTCCATTCTTCTATAGCGCATTCCGCTATACAGCAATAAAAGAAAAACAAGTAGTAAATAATTTGCACTACATTGCTTAAACTAAACACAGTTCTGAAAAGCATGTGCGCTATCGGTATTAGTATCCAGAACAGGGCTCCACCCACCAATGTCGAAAGCAGTGTCGCTGCCACACCCGGGTGCACGCAGGCACTCTGTTAGGCAGTATGCTGGGCTTTTGTCTCGAGTAAGGAACAGGTGGAGCCCAGCTCTGCAGACCCGACAAATGATAGCTCATCCGTCATTAATAAAAACCTCCCCAGATGAAATAAGGGAAAACATATGCATATTTCTGTAAACAGAAAGGTTTTTAGTATGGTCAATGTGATGTCATCATGACCTTAATTATGTATGTCATGTTTTTTTCTAATCATATTTGATAGTCTGATCACCTCAAACAATTTTGTACTTATATTTTTATTATGATTCTCTATTTTGATAAAATTGAAAGATGATTTTTTTTTAAATAGGAAAGTGGGTTTTGGTGAAGGATTACATTGTGAAGAGTCACAAAGTTGGTCGCTGGCTTGAAGAGTGTGATTATGAGTGGGGAAGCCCTGCTACAAAGCATCTCAGTTATTCTCTTGGGATGAATAGTCCAAGGCGTTGGCGTGAATATGTTGAACGGACAGGAAAACGTGCATTCAGTGACTGGACTGTAGGATTGATTATTGAGAATATAGAAAGACGACCTAATGTCTATAAGAGGTAAATATTATAAAGGGTAAATTCAATTCATTAGCCTGGTTCTTACGAGAGCCCTAGTATCCGGATTGGGAGCTAACCATTAGCACTAACTGTTAGCACCTGCATGAGAATGCCCAATCGGTTAGCGCTAACCAGTAAGGGTATCCGGATACCGCTAACGGTTAGCAAGCGCTATCAGTTAGCAAGTTGAGCGCGTTTTTATCATCAACCAATCACGCGTACGTATCATCATATTTTTGGTATCCGGATCGGGATTTTCTCTTATGGACGCACGGCACCTAACTGGATCCTTTAGCAGCTGTGTGAGAACATAGCCAAAGTAACATTTATTTAAATCCTTTCCAATTCGTACAATTATATAATACCAGATCATAACAAATTCATGAAAAAAAGAATTAACTTATTTAATTGCAAATTGGATGTTGCTTGATGTTTTATTGATTTTTTCCATTTAAGTTAAAATGCAATCTAAATTATTTATAGTAAAATAAATTTGAATAAATCATTTGAATCATAGTTTATTCTCAATACGCAATTCTCAATACACAGTTTTCATCCAAATATTCTAAACCCTACACTTTGAGACCACTTTTTAAAGTATTAAGTGACAATCTTCAGACTAAGCTAAAGCCAATTAGTTATATATATGGAGACTGAGACCACCTCATGCTTTCAAAATATGGGATCAAATTGATACAAAATAATTTATTACTGAATATTAGCTGTTACATTATAGAATAATTTGAAAGTTTAAATGTTTTCACATCTATGGGGTATATGCTGTTACTAGGAAAAATGAAGGGCAGTACCTGACACCAATGACAAATTCCAGACCAAGAAGTTGTCATCCATTAAAATTTCCACCATTGTCCTGCCCACACTGAAACAATTGTTTATTGGTTAATCTATTGCTATCTGTTTACCCTTTCTACAGGTTGCTCCAGACAGGAGGAGCCAAGGTTGTTAGCATGTCGACAGCCAATACTGCAGATCTAACACATATTCTTGTAGATAAAGCCTACAGAAGCAAAATCAAAACTTTTGCTATGAAAGGTGTCATCTGCGTAGTTCCGGATTTTCTTGCTGAGGTCCTTTTTGAGGTAATCAATCAGTTACTTGAATTTACAACAAATTTATGACAACCTATCCATATTATCAAATAGTAACTATGCTAAGTACTCAGTTTAACAATTAGCAACAGTACGCAGGTTTTAGGATGGCATGCCTCTATGTTATTTATACATACATTGACTTATTAACTAGACTTGCCAGCACACTTACAAAAGCAAGAGGATCCACTAATTAGTCTTAAATAAAACAAAAAGACTGTAACTCTGAAAAGAGACAGAGACATTTTGAGATTAAAAAAGCAGTAATGAAATGGCATGGTAACACTGATGATTTAAAAATACATGATGGTAGTAAAACACTATGAACATTTCAACATGTGTAAAAAGAATTTTAAATAAATCTTTAAAATTTATGAATTTATGATGGTAGTACTATATTTCCTGAAAACATTATAGGTGAGTTGTTATAACACACTTGCAAACCATATGATTGATATATTTCAGGAATCTCCAAATGTTAGCAAGTATCATGTGTTAAGTGTCAACGTAACATTGTCACCAGTTGTCAGTATCAGTGACATGATAGGTAAGTTGACAACTAAAAAGTAGTGGTGATGATGATGACTTCGTCAACATTGAAGGAACAAGCCTTGTATATGTATTTTACTACAGTTGCCAGTTTGCCATCAGACATTGTTTTTTTTCCTGTTTTTTTTTTTGTATTTCAGACTTTTTAAAACACGCCTATACAGCAATCTTCCATGATTCTCAAAACTCTTGTGATAATGTATATGTTCCTGATGACCTCAGTGTCAATAATAGATCAAATTGTCTACTTCCTCTTTGTTGGTATGGAAGTATCCTTAAGAGAAAGTATAAAATGAGTTTTGTCTTAATACGAATAACTGGTGAAGCATGCCATACTGATTGCCAGATGTTGCCATGTCTGCTCTTATGTTTGAATAAATATGGCAAAAATGTAATCGACTAGTTATCTCTTTTTAGGTTCGCAATGCCCTTCTTCGTTGACAAACAGCACCTGCAGTTCTGCATCAGTGGTTGTCAGTGCCTCTTCATCAAAGAGTATCTGTGATCCATTCACAAGGGCCATGCATGGTTGTGCAGCAAAGAACTCTGTTGGCTCTTCTACTAAGAGGATGTCTGCTTCATCAACCACCAACTCTGGATCATTAACAAGATTTGCAATTGCTTCCTGTACTAAAGTCGCCCATGATTTGTCTGCAACGAAAATCACAGGGTTTCAAACCATCACATCGAGGTCAGCCGGTACAAGGTCAAGATCTGTAAGGCAGTTAAGCAATGACAGCAAAAACATGATTGCACATAGTAAACTTTCTAGAAAGACTGCTTTATCAGATATTGGGAAGCAGAAAGAGATGAGATCTCCAACAAGGTATCTAAATAGCACACCAGAGAAAAAGGCAGTGGCAATCAAAAGGAAATTGGTGTTCACAGAAAGTGAGGTGAAAGAGGCTTTGAAACATGTTAAACGACAAAAGGTAATTCAAACAAACCACAATTCCTCTCTAACTTTTTGTCAGTTGAATAGTAATATTGTGATAAATTGTTGTCCAAATATGTGACTTGTAGATCACATCCAGTCCATGGTTATAATAATAATAATATTGGTACGATTCACAATACTTTGTGCTGTCACTGAAAAATGCAATCTGTTGACTTACTGAAATTTGTTGAGAGATCTATAAAACAATGTTATTTAAAGGAATTGTTTATGCTACAGTGGTAACAATTATGCTTTTTATTCCATATTTTAATTCAAAAACATTGTAAAAAATGTTGACATTAATGTTGTTTCTTTTGTTAGCTTGAAACACCAACATATTCAGTGAATCCATACATGATGCAGGCTTTACCAAAGCAAGGCAGTCAACTGGTAAGTGGGGGTTTTTTAATCGAAATTTGTATCTACAGTGTACAATCACAGGTACAGTGATAAGTCAACGGACACTCATGCAAATGAGGCTGAATTCATTGCCCATCACTGTATGGATGGCTCTAGATGTTACTTTCAAACAGGCATTACTTAAGTTATTAGCTTTCCAATAGAAAATGTAAAACATTTTCCTTACAAATTTACTATTATTCCTTTGCAAAAACTTTAAAGTCTGGTTTGCATACAATTGCTACATGTTATCGCTGGCTTTTTTTGGCAACACTGGTTGGCCTAGTAAATTGGGGAGCCTTACCGATTGCATCATCAGAGATTGCTTCACAGTGCAACGATTGCAGGGAAAAGAGTGAAGCAATTTTATGGAAACCACGTTTTAGTTGCCTGGTGAATAAGTATAATGATTTTCTTAGTGAAAAGTCAGTAAAACTATTCAGTTATTTTGGGTATAATGTTGTTTCTTTAATATATAGATTAAAAAATTTGTCTATATATTCAAAAAACAATATTATTCTAAATCAACTTAAGACTAGATGAAATTCTTCCAAGTATTCAGTTATTAACACTATATATGTTATTATTTTATTTAAATGAAAAGACATGTGCAGCGCCATTCTATAACTTAACATCCAACATCATTGAAGGAGCTATCGAGGAAGGCCTGTGGGAAGAGGCGGTACACATGGCAAAGACTGAAACATCAACTTTCCGTTACCCTCCACCCAGGGTGCTACACACATTTATGCAGGAAATGCTAGTGGTAAGGCTATTTCATATACAACATGATTTTTTTTCAGTATAATACTTTAGGGCAAAAGTCAGGAACTGGCTCAGGACAGAGGAGGTTGGACATCTGCCATCAAATGAAGAAAAGTCCAACCCATGATCAAAATGGACATGGACTCAAAATGTATATGATGATGATGATGATGATGAAAATGCATATAAAGTTCATACTATACTTGTATTAAATAATGCAAAGTAGGTATGGGTCTTTGTTTTTTGACAGGGACAAGCTAATTGATATTTTGCTTCATTTACATGATTTTTTTAACCTAGATTTATGCATTTTTTCATGATAATCATTCATGTATGACAGTGCTCATTCATGCATAACTTATTGTGACACCCCCCTACCCCTTTGATTTTCAGACTGAAAGTAGTCCATTAGCCCGTGACTTATTTAGTGTGTTGACAAGATGCCAGTGTCTTCACCCTCCATCAGGCATGCATCTGCCTATCAACATTATGTACTTGCAGTCCTTCTGTACAGAGGGGGTAATGAAGAGTAATGAGAAAAGCTCAGAATTGTACTTCTGTTGTGACACTCCATGGGACTTTATGAATTATGTGATTTGTGGAGCCATTTCTGCAGGCCAGGAGTCAAAAGCAGTGGAAAGAGGTCAATGTTTGTTACTTCTTCACTACTTGGTGGCACTGTTTGAACAAGACTTCAAGGCATTTTGCGACAGGTAGATTCTATAGATAGTTTTAGTAGCAAGGTTACCAAATGATTGTCAAAGTGCCTCTCTGAGGTGTTAGCATTTTCATAATATACTTTCTTACCTGACAGTGGTCTGGTCCAGATAGATATATATATATATATAAATGGACAGATCAGGCTATAACAGGTTTGAAGTATAATTTATAGCAAAGTTGGCTGACTTGTTTAAATATTAGATTGTGATAAGAATCACAATAAAAACAAAAATAACAACATATTAGCATTTTAACCTAAAATAAAAACTGCTTAAATTGACTTGTGTATCATTTGATGTATTATCCTAACTTTTCAGGTGGCGGAACAAAGACAAAATGAGGCAAGGAGTTGAAGAGACGATGGTGGCAAAAGTACTGTGGCCAAGGGGACCTGTCAAGCCCACTGTTCCTTTTGTAAGGAAGCTGATGGACTACTTAGTGCAGGCACTAGACATGGTCACTGTTGACAAGGGTAGTGAGAGCCAGGCCTGCTATGGCCAGGCCAGTGATGAAAAGTCATCATGGAAGTGCCTTAGATTACTCCAAGCTTTATTTGGCATGGCAGCAGAGTGTTGTAGGATTGCTGAATCCAAAGAACCAAATGCTGTGTTGACAGGAATCAGTGAGGAGGGGCTTGGCTCAGACCTGGTCAGAGAAATGGTCTCAAGGTTGAAACAAAGTAAGATATTAATATAGAAATTGCTTATCTTAAGCAGCTTAATGGGCCTGAGACACAAAAAGGCTTGTGTGCGTGGTGTACATATGTACATGTTCGTATACATTTATGCTATTATTTAATAGGACTTAACAACAATATCCAATTGGGGGGGCTTAGTTGCAATGGTTCATTATGCTTGGCTTTCACATTTTGACGTAATGTTGATAATTATTGCCTTCTTGTAGTTTTAGTTTTTTTTAACATAGCTTCTTGTTTCCTTGCTTATACAGGTGGTATGTTGATCAACCAGAAGTGCGTTGAACTGTTTCTTGATACATTGACCTGTTCATGGGTCAAGACCATGTCTTTGGTCACAATCCTGTCAACCTATGACAGTGCTTTGGTGGCTAATAGTAACAGCAAGATGAAGGACCAAAAACTTTCTCTTGGAAAAATTGTAAGTTAAAAAAAAAATTATTATTATAACAAATCAGGACATGCAATCACCAAAAAATCGTACACTGGTATTTAAAATGCTCATATATTGGCTATTAATGAATCAAAATTCTCCAATTTTGCATCGCCCATCCCTAACTCTTACAGTGAGTTATTTACATGTGTACCCTATATTAAATTACTAATAAAATCATATCCTTACCTAGGCTAGGTTGTCAATTACTTATCTATGCCTAAAGGCAGCATATTCACATCCCTATTCTGGTCTACCGCCTGCTCTAAAAGTGTCTTCTGCAAATCCCCTTTTTAATTCCTTTTTGTTTGTATTAATATTTCCGGCATCAAAACATACTCTATAAAATTCCCTGGGAATCAAGATAGGTTGGTGGCCACTCTTTAGGTTCAGATTCAAACAGTGGATTTTGGATTATTTTTAGACCTTTTCAATATAATTTGTGACTTAGTTTAACTATTTATCAAGGCAAATGACCTATTGACATAATACAAGTTAAAGTACTATAGACAACAACGTAGAGGTTTTTTAATCCTTAGAAATATTTGATTCATTGGGGCACTGCGTATATTTTAATTACTGTGTTGCATATATTTGGTTTATTGACATGCTTGCCTTATTTATGTTCTTGTAGGTTACTTGGTATTTCTACCTTCTACCAGAATCTACCTCGCGCATCAATGCAGTACGTGCCCCAACAAAGACACCAGATGTTCCAAAGTAAGCACAACCTTAAGTATTATGACAATGAGAGTGCATCTGATGCCTGGCAACATAACATATACTTGGCTACACTGCACATGCTCATAAAAATTTTAACCCTACTGTGTAGTACTTGAATCTAAATTGCAATTATTGTTGGGGGAAAATTAAGATTAAATATTTTTAATTAGTGCATAGTTTTTAAAGTAAATCATTGGCCTGCTATCTTCTTTAAATGTGGACTGTTTTATGTTTTCTAGAACTGAATTTGTATATCATCAGTGTTCTCCCAAAGTCGTTTTAGTCGTCAATTTTACCGGTAAAAATAACAAGCCATCTGGTAAAAATTCTGAGTTTGTAATATATAAAAAAATAATTGAAAGGCCTAGTGGTCTAGGCTAGCCATTTTTCAATAAAGGAACATTATTCCAGTCTAGGACTAGGCTATGTGTTTTTTTTTTTCAAGTCATTAGACCCATTCAAAAGGGGCAATGCTTCACACTGCGCACATAGCTGAATTTTTATGGACAAATTTACCAGTAAAATTGTTTCAATTTTGAGAACAATGTATCATGCCTTATTTTTTTTACCTCTATTTCAGGGTACAAATAAAAAGTGAAAGACCATTGAAAGTAAACAAAAGGAATGCGAAAGGTAATATTTTTCTGAGAGTGTTTGCTAAAGCCTCTAATGACACCTTCCCTAAAAAACCTCATAATTTTTGCATTCTTCTTATTGTTGAATGATAAAATTGTAAGTTTACAACAGTAGTGCACAGATGTTTACTAAGATGTATACCTTGTATATGTCATGGATATTAAAATTTTATTTATATATTGCCGTATATACTCACATACAATGCAACCCACATATAAGACGACCCACTGTTTCATGGTCGGAGTTCCTACTTTTTATGGTCCTGATACTGCATCTAGCTGACTAAAAATGGAGCCAAATACAAGGCTAATCTTCCAAATAATACTATTTTATTTTAAGTTTTTAAATGTTCATCTAAATGTTATTTCCCCGTATTTAAAATTGCGTTCATTCATACTAACATTTAATAGTTTAAATGCAGTTAGTAAATTTTGCATCTTATGAACCATCCGTACACAAGACGAACGATTTTTAAAATCTAAAATTTGTATGTCATGCATACAAGAATGACCCCCACCTGTTTTTTAATCGTAATTTGCTATTTTAAGCCTAGTCTTATACACTTTATACATTTTAGGCCTATATGCAGTAATTAATATTAAATATTTTTTTAGATTTTATAAGTGTATAATTTCATAATATTATTGTAATCTGGAATTGTTGTCAGTCTTGTACTGTTTTTAAACCTAAATAAATAATAAAATGTTTGTTTAAAACTCAAGGTGAGACTGCTCTACAGACAGCCTGCATCAAGGGAAATCTTTCCAAAGTGAAAGAACTGTTGAAGGAACCCGGCATTGATGTGAACAGTCAGGACAATGCAGGATGGACTGCAATGCATGAGGCTTGCAACCATGGGCATGTAGCCTGTGTCAAGGAGCTATTGCGATTTAGACCCTTTAGGACTATTATGGACTACTTTGACAAGAGTAGTAAGTAATTATACAATAATTAATAGGAATTTATATACTGTAATTATAAACTTGAATGATAATCGACTACAACAAATAAAGCAATGTTTATTTTTATTGTTTCTTACAGAAACCTCATGGACTGGATTAAATTTACTTGCAGCGCCCTCTTGCGGTACAACTCCTTTGCATGATGCTGTTATCAATGGCAGAATTGAAATTGCAAGACTGCTGGTTCAGTCAAAGGGTTAGTGGCTACAATTTCTGTCTTTTTCCTAGTACTTTGTGTACTGTTGCTTTATTCTCATAGTTAATCAGAAGGATAAGTTATAGTTTTTTTTTTGTAAATACAACAATGTTTTCTATCCTCTTTGTCCAATGCAAATGTTACATTATCATAATCATATCAAGTTTTACCTCAATAAATTTACATTGCCATTTTTTCTTAAAATGAACACCCCACAAAAAAAAATAGAACCATCTATCCTAGGTCATCAAATGACCACCACAATACCATAAAACCTCAAATAAAAGCCTAATGGGCTCAATCTTGAGAAGAAGCCGAATTGAAGCCCCCTCTTTAGTTTGTAAAAGTAGCCTCGAAAAGAAGCCTATCTTTGAAAGAAGCCCATGGGCTTCTTTTCGAGATAATGCAGTACAGACATTGTATTTCAGAGAAACAAAATAAATTAAAAACTTGCTCGGTTAAAACAGTAGTTTAGGTGTTTTAATGCCGATTAATACACCCTGCGATAAAGACTGGTGTTACAGTGGCCCGTCTTTTGTTTTATAGTAGTAAATGCCAAAATTGACAGCATTCATTTTGAAACAAAGCCCACTCTTAACTCAAAAGTAACCTCGAAAATTATGTACGCATATAGTAGAACATTCAGCAATTACCATAAAATCCAAATTATTGCACTTCATTCAATGCTCATGTTCATGGAAGCTGACCTTACTCATTTGAATCTGTATTCAAACTAGCATTCAATATTAATCTGTAGTACTGTATTTTAACCTGCTCACTGACTACTACTAGCTTCCAAGAAATTGAATGTATTTGTAAAGAAAACTCATGTACAACTTTTGTCCGTCTGTAGGAAAGAAACTGCTTTCAGCTATGAATGTAGATGGATACACTCCTCTGGACTACGCTGTTACAACCGAGATGAAAGCAGCATTGTTGTCATTTGACAAGGAGAACAATGTTGAAGGTACGCGACAATGATATTTACTGGTGATGCTAGATAGGATGAAAGAGTAAATAGAAAGGATTGCACTACAGTTTTTAACTGTAAATACTTTGGTGGTTAAGATGCTTGCCATTTTAATTCCATGCTAGCTTCAACTAATTGGGCCTAGGTAGCCTCCACAAATTGTGTCTGCAGACACTATATGGGGCTTGAAATGCCAAAACTAGCATCGGTGACAAAAGCATGAACATTTTAGTAAATATTCTCATTATAAGCTTTAAAATGGTCATTTACTAGGATTGACTTACTGTTGCCAAATAATGAGTAAAATTATTTTAGCTTCTCTGTACTATAAAGTAAACATTCTTATGCTTATTACTCAGTCCATTAGCGACAGTACGCTGGTTTTGTAATAGCAAGCCTCATATGGTTACGGCAAGGATACCTACAATTTCCATATTTTACATTAATTTTTAACCTCAATTTTCCTTTTTTTTTAAAGAATCGCCAAGTATGTCAAGTGTTGACAAGGTTCACAACAGCTCTATGCCTGATGACCAAACGTATCGTGAAGTTCTCGGTCAGCCTCCAGTTTTGGTTGATTCTACGAAATGTGCAATATTTGCTACGTTGATCCAACATCTTCTGATGGATTACATTATACGCAATGACCTGCAGATACTGAGGCAAGAAGTAGATTGTGCTCAATCTAGAATTCATAATGTCAAAGTACGCCCTCTATCATCTAATGGGCAAACATCCCAACCAGGCTCTGATATCCGGGCTATACTGCCAGAATGCGTGAAACAGTCCAATGAGGAAAGAGTTCTGTGCGACTTGACTGTTTTTAGTCAACTGAATGATCATCTCTCCAACTTCCATAAGCACTTGAGCAAGATAAGCATAGGTACCAGTGCATCAATATTGTTGAGGTTACAAATGCTAGGCGGCTTTGTAGATAATAGTGCTGATTTGTAGTTATGCATACTACTGGACTGTGCTAGCTAATGCCTCCTGTCATAACTAAACGTGTGGGCTGTGGATTATTGGGTGCTCATAGGACTAGCAAATGCCTCAGCAACGTGTACAAAAGTTGTATATTAGAAGTTTAAAGTACCAAAGATGTAGCAGAGGGCATTCTTTTATGTCGCACTTGTGTATATATATAATTTTATATTTCATGTTAACGACATTGAACATTTTTTAAAACATTGTATGCTAATATGTTACGGAAATATTTAACGCTTATACCTTGATATCTACTTTAGTTCAAACGTAATATATCTGCATGTTCATTTATCTTATTACTGTAATGGATTATATACTAGTACAGTACAAGGCAAGAAGAAATATAAGCCAAGACGTTGAAAACTTAACTTTTTATTGTTTTTCTCAGTCATTTTCATGTATTTTGTTAGGATCATCAAACAGACGGTGCTACCAATGCTAGATCCCTATACTGTAGTATGCTCAAGTAAACCAACAAAAATGATAAAGTGTAAACTTCAGCAAACATTACCTCCAATGTATGCTTCTTTGGTAGTCAATGGTTCTAAATTTTAAACAAATAAAAAATGAGAACCTACATCAACAAGGTGCAGGTAAATCACCTTACATGTGCTAAAAGTGCCATGGAAATTCAGACAAACTAAAGGTGGGATTGGAACAAATATATGAAAACCCAGTTTGTAAAAGATTGTCAAAAACCCTGTACAACAGAGATGATGGAAGAAACAGGCTGGTATTCAACATGCACATGTGGCATATATCTAATGCACAGCACTATATCTATCCACTATAGTATCACTAAATTATTAAAGCTACTGTTAATGAATAAGCAGCAAAAGCATCAGTGTAGTTATCTATCAATACTGATGAATTAATTAACATCATCTGAACTAATCATCCATCTTTATAATACAGGAGTATAAGATATGGTTATACACACAGTATTAAAGAACACATTCTACAGTATCAGTTCAGGATTAGGTTATACAGATCATTTCTGAAAGCTCTAAAAAAAAAACCTTGCATCATTCCCTATTCTTTCTCTATACAATTTTTATAATTACTGTACACTCTAACCAAGTTTGCATCATTATATGACCCCATTTACATTTTCGTACCAATCATATTCTGATATGTTGCTTATTTCTTATGGAAAACGATGCAGAGCCAGGCTAATTTCATATCTAGATGAACAAACTGTCAGTTATTATGTACCCTTTAGTGCCATGTAGGCCTATCCTGACTTATTGACATTCACTCTGGAATAACCACTTTGCACATGTGGCTCAAACACAAGAGAACATGACATTGTGAATAAACATTTATTAACCCTATTTTGTGTGGCTACACCACAAAGCATTTATTGAAGCATTTTGTCAGGTATTAGCACATCCATTTATGCTTGTTAAAAACATTTCCAGCTCTCTGAACTGCAGATTACACTATACACTGGCAGTTTGTATTGATTGCCACATGGGGCTTGCCATCCCAAATCCAGCATCAGCGAACAAAATGTACACCAGAATTATTATTCTCCACATTAGAAGCTTTAAAACGATGTCATTTACTGGAACCTACCTAAATGTATTACAGCTTCTCTGTATAAGTATACAATACTTATACAGAGAATTGTATAAGTATTGTATACATATACAGAGAAGTATAAGTATACAATACTGCCACACCCTTATGCTATTTACTCAGTTTCACAATTCGTGACTGTATGCTGGTTTTTGGATGGCAAGCCTAATGATTTCAAACTAATATTGGCTAGAAAATGTCCATTTTAAGAGATTTATTTCCAGCTCTATAGTTGTAAATAAAACTTTTATTTATTTTGTTGTCTGTCTCAAAATATTCATCTCTGATCTTGTAATTCTACAAGAAATGTAGGCACTGTTGAATGACAAAGCACAGCTTAAGTATTACAATCAAAAACCAGGCCAGTTCCAGTCACATATGTTATAGTAACATTACTAAAGACATTTAAATTGTAAATTATAAACATAAAGATACAAATTCTGTATTATAGAATAATTGTATTTATTTAGACATCACTGCATTTTACCAACAAGAGTCCAAGTTTCTAACACACTGTTTCAAGATGTTCATTGCTTAAAACAGAAAATGTAAAAATTTGTAAAACAAAAATATGTATTGGTAAACTAAAATTAACAAAGAGAGGATTAGCCATTCAGTTTATTTCTTAAAAACACTGGATTAGCCAATCAGATTTATGATTATGGCAGTTGCTATGAATAATAATTAAATACATTTCAACACAAATATGTTTAAACAGTATTCCTTGATGATGAACTTAAACCAAAGACAAACACTCACAAATATTGCATCATGGATCTTACAAAGATTAACACTCATCTAAATTGTTTCCTTGACAAATCAGATAAACTATAAAAACAAACAAAAAAAAAGTAAAAACTTGGACAACTGTGGAAATACACTGTACTCTTGAAGCTACAGTACAATAAAAGCTAGTAATAATAATCTTCAGAAAAACTAGTTCAGTAATAATAATATTTAAACTAGAAGATTTTGACACTGCATTTCTAAATGGAGTTTTTGACAAAGAAAAAATAATCGTTTTCTTTTACCCATCTTTCTAACAATTTGCATTAGGTATATTGCTTCTTGAAAATGGTGTCCATTTGTGTTTGTTTAGATAGAATTCCTTTAAATTCAAGTTTTAAATATATTAGTTATTTTTCAAAATATACGATAGAATCCCTATAGCATAGCTCAGGGGCGGATCTTCCCCCTCCCCCTTTGGAAGGTAAAAAAGAAAAAAAAAATTGAACGCCCAAAACGCCTCAGGTTATTTTTGGGCGTCTAGAACACAAACATTTTGTGGGACATCCCTGGACCTGTCTCTTATACACATCTAGATGTGTATTATCTTGATTGGCCCCACCCCCTTTTGGACATCTCTGGATCCGCCCCTGTAGCTGATTAATATTTAAAAATCAACAAACCACAGAGCAAGACAACGATAAATTGTCCAATAATAAACTAATGGTTTAACTTTATCGAATTAAAATGTGCACATAAACTTAATGAACAAAGAAAAAATGAATGTTACCTTATAAGGTACTAACAAAAATTCTGGTCAAACATATACAAGTAGTAATTAAATTTTATATTCAACCTTAACAAAAAATATGAATTAAAAAAAATATAAACTTACCTGCTGTCAGAAAAAAAGCCACTGTTTGTTGCTGGTGGAATTTAGTGATCACACTTTTTAATTATGTGTTTTTGAAGATTAGAAAATAATGGTGTATTTAATGTATCTGGGTCTGCATAGATAAGACAGTATGTGTTTGCTATTCAAGTGCTTTTAGTTTTATAGTAATACATTTGTTGATCATTTAAAATTGTATCTAACAAATGTTGCACTAATGTATCATTAATAAGATAGTATTCATACATATACAATTCCTTTCCACTAATATAGCTTTATATTTTAAGTACCTTCTAAGGATTCCTGTTTTTCCCTACAAACAAAAATATGACCATGTCATTTAAATTAGCATTAGTATGACCCACATGCAATTATTTCACAAGAATTTCTAAAAATAAACCTATATTCACTGTGGCACCAGTGAAGATATCAAAATGATGATGATAATTAACAATAATAATAATGCATATTATTCACATATTGATACATGTACAGTAGTGTACTGATAGTACTCGTTTCAGAAACTGAACCAAAGTATTAATTTGATAACCTTAATTTAATTACCTTACCTTATATTATACAAATTATAAAGTAAAAAAAGTTATTTAGAAAGAATTGAAAAATATAATTATTTGCTAATGTAGGGTGGGGGTTGTAGGAGGGGGAGATGTGCCCTGTTTTGGTTGGCGCCATTATAATTATCCTTTAAAAAAATGTACGCCTTAAGAATAAAATAAGAACAATGGTAAAACAGGAGAATTTCAAATGAAGATTGCAATGACATAATTTTAATGGAGTACCGTTGTCATGGTTTAATAACAAATTTATCAGACCCGTGCAGCCAGGGGTTAATGTACACTAAATTGTACACTATAGAAGCTAGTTACACTTTTACCCTATAGAACCAATTTTAACAAACACCATTAAGGATGGAAATATATAAATCAGGTGTCTCTAATGCTGAAACTCGGACAGACACTTACAGATTGGAAATGGTTAACCAATGAAATGTGCGAGGGCTTACAAGTTACATCTATACTTTAACTGCATAATTTAATCAACTTCCAAAACGAAGTCAGATTAATAATTAATTAAAGTACCATTTACCCTTCTCTAATTTGTAAGACCCATCTTAGACTACAGTACTATATAACTCTTCTATCCAAAAAAGTTTCACTGTGCACAAATAAAAAAATTAAAAAAAACAACTAAGCCATAACATTGCTACCACAGGCAGCTGAACACTGGCAAATTTCTTAAACAAATGTTTCAACAACTTAACTGACAAATTAAAATACCATGTTGAGGAAGAAAGGATTGGAAATAAAACTTACCAAATTGTTAGATATGACTAAAATAAATTACAGATATTTTGATGCAACGCATGGGCTAATCAATCAATTTCTTTGATGGTAAAGAAATATTTTACTATTTGAATGTAGCTAGTACATCTAAACATTGCAATGGTTTAATTGCTTTCGGTTTAAGAAATATATTAATTGATAACACGAAACATAAATTTTAGACACCTACATTAAACAAAACAAACATATAATTTGAAATAGAACTGATATAGAACAAACAATCATTTATTTATATTTAATTTGGTTATTTTTTTATCTTTATTTTATGTAAAAGTAAAAATGATTTGTAAATAATATGGGGAATATTTTTCTTGTAGAGATATTACCTACAAGATTTCTGATATTAATATCTGAAATTAATTTTAGTAAAAACATCCAGAACCAAATTAGACACCATAGAAACGCCACAATTCGGGTTTTTCTACAGAAACAGGAGCTGCATTTTGACAACTTGGAATTCTTATTAAATCGATGAGGCTATTTTGGCTTCATCTCATAGTAATTACACTTTTTAATTAGTGATAAATTGCACAACAAACAAAAAGAAACCCAGCCTACATATACAAAACATTTTGAGAAGAAGTATGTACATTTTTTTTTCTCTCTCCTCTGTAGCATTTGATTTCAATAGCTTTCAGAGTTCAAATTTCTTAATATCTACCATGTCAAAATCTAAAACAGAAAATAATTATGTTCATATATAATTACAAATTATATAAAACAATCCGTTCAGTAAGGAATTGAAATCATAAGTTCTTCTACATGCAAAATAACTACATTAATTCATTTTCTCCAGGACTTCAGTTGGAGTTAAAGGGAAAAAAATTGTAGTAGATCTGTTAACTCAGGTGTGGGCATAAAAATTGTTGATTTAACACTGAGGGCTGCACCCAAACTTTGATGTTTCCAGTGTTCTTCCAAAAACATTTATACACTGCTTTTATACCCCTTTATCCTCAGTTTTAATATCACTTTTTACAGAAGATCGGTGTCGGGCCATGAGAAACAATGTGTTTTCTAGCTAAAGATGTTTGGCGGGCCACACACATAGGGTTTTAAAATTCACTTTCATAGGCCGTGAAAAAAATCCCTGTCGGGCTGCATGCAGCCCACAGACTGCACTTTGCCAACCTGTGTGGTAACTATTGTACAGTTAGCTACTAATTAGCATTAGGTAGGCACTAGCAACTACGTCACTGTAATGTGAGTTCATTGAAAAAAAAATCTTCTGGATCCACTGCTGTACTGTTCTAGAAGTATGTACAAACCCTCGCATTTAACACAAAATGCTCCACTCTGGTACAAATTCATGTCATAATTATTGTGAAAGGAAACCTGAAACTGGGCTCAATTTTTTTTTATGTGTGATACAGTACTACAACAGCAATGAGTTTGCCTGGAATCTATTTGATGATAAAAATAATTAGCATAATTATAATATTCTAAACAGCTTTGCAGCTGCAATTCAGTAACTGATAAAATTATACATCCACTTATTAAAGTTTTGTTTAGCACCAACGAAGGAGGTTTAAATTCCAGACCTACTAACTAGAGTACTAACTTCAGTGCATTCGATTTGATCCTAAAAGCGTAGCTTTAAGGAATCCACACCACACTACAATGCTGCCAAGACTATGGCAAGATAGTGCTTTTATACCCTATTCAGACTTGCTTCGCACTAATCACAATTCACAATCTTTATTGCTGCCAGGCCTATTACCACGGAATATGATTGCAACAAATTCCAGAGGCACTTTATTGGCTGAGGTCAGTCAACATAGGTCTAGCCACCAGGTCTAATACTGTCTGACCTCCCATCCAAAGTTTTTTGTGTCAGATTTGGTCTGAATGCGCTTGTTGGCTGCGATTGTGAGTAATAAATTTTGGATTATAACCAACCATATTGCAACGGAGTGTAGTCTGAATAGGGAATTAGATGAGGGTGAAGCAATTTTGAAGGCTAAATTACACAAATGCTATGGTTTCTTGCCAACACTATAGTATTTCTAAAATTACTTCATATGCTATTGATAGTATTATGGGACACATTTTTTGGAATACTATTATTTCAGAATAGTTTTATGTGAATTAGAGTACTGTACACCTAAGACAGAGTATTGTAAACAAATTTTTGTTCACAATGAACCATTGTTCACATTTTCTGGGGCATGTCACATTTACAAAATATACATTTTTACAATTTGAATTTTTGACACCAAGACAAATTTAAGTCTTGCATCAAAATGATCCAAAAGTTTTATTTTTTCGTTGAACCTAAGAATGGAGGCACTCAAATCATTATCAGTCAGGATGGAAAATCGTAGAAATGCATTATCCTAAATTGATTGTCAGCTAGGAGAGTTAATGTTGACATGTTTTAAGAAGTTTTTCATTCATTTATTAACAAATGAACAAGCATTTAACATTCTATCAACCATCAAAATACAAACATTCAATCAGCTTAATTGTAATTGTTAGCATGTACATTCTTGTTCTGTACTTGTGTATATATGGGGCAGAAATACTAACACACTTTCGCACAGACAGAAAATGCTGAGAATTAGAACATGTTTGATCTACCAAGATACCATTTAACACGCATAATACAAAAAACCATGCAGAAATCTCGGAAGAATAGCAACTTTGCATAATGGAAGGGACTATTTGTTTACAGTATTGAATCATGCTGCAATATCTCTGAAAGTTCTACATAAGTTTGTTTCACACTACACAAACCTGGTTACAGCTTGTTACTAGATGTGCTACCACAGTATTTGTAAAATAGTGACAGTGTGAAATGGTTTTAAGGGTGTATATATGCAGGCTATGTATGTGGTCAGTGTGTGTGAATGCATCTGAATAGGTGAATAAAGCTTTACTACATCACATGAAAAAGAGAAGCGGCAATCTAAAAATGGGTTAAATTTGTTAAAGGCAAGCACCTTGATTTTGCACTAATAATTAAATATATTTTGGTTATAAAACAAGGATAACTTTTTAAATGATTTTAATAAGCATATCCGGTGGGACAGAGTCAACAGATAAGTATGCTTGTAATTCTGATCAGTCTAATGCTATAAGGACTACATCGTGAAAGAAATTATCTAAAACTTTTAACAATATTGTAGAAACTTCTTACTCTGGTTCTTAACAACCAATTGTTTTTGTATCAAATAGAAAAAAAACCCTCAATCATACAACTTTAATTTACTACTCTCTACATAGGTGGTCCAACTGACCATACTAGTTTTGTAAATAGAATTTATGTAAACAAAGCGACATACAGCTAGCTTTCTAAAGTAACTCCCAAGTTACACCTGTAGTTATAGGACTCTTTACTGCTCAGTGCATTTCCTCCATAGGAGGCAGGGGAATGATGGGATTAGACAAAGAGAGGAAGTAGCTGCAATCAGTTTCAATAATAGGCACTTGATGTGGACTTGATCAGTGATTACTCCAAATACACGACACATCCAGGATTAGCAGTTTCATGTTCTAAAACCTTTTCCCATTCTGTAAAAAAAAAAAAAAAACCAAATTAGGGGGAAAACAAATCAAATTCATAATTTCAGGTGTACAATTGTTTTCAGTAAGAAATAATTTTGGAAAATATATTAATATACAAGTCTCATCCAATCAGTAAAAAATCAGGCCGGGAATTAGCTGCACATCCAACATTAGTTAACAAATTGTTTTCTAGTGAGGTTGTTGCTTGGTTGTTTACTCCGGACTCCACTTGGTATTAGGTCAACAATGCAAGTTTGTCTATGGCCAATTTATCCAAGTTGTACGGTAACGTAAGTTTACAGAGTGAACATTACCTAGGACTACAATCAGGAAAGTCCAATTCGAAACATACAACTCACACATTAAAATCTGTTTAGAGTTTGTGCAAATGAGTGTAGACCTTTTTGTCCCCAGTCAATTCTATCCAATGCAAGTACCATCTTTCGGACAAGCTGTTTAATCTCAATGCGAATCACAGAGCCTTGGCAAGTGCATCAACATTGTTATTTGAATAAAACTCAACTCACCTTTCTGAAGGAATTTTGCGATGGTAAAGTGGTTGAAAGAACCAATGCTATTTACCATGATCGCATCCCCTGTTAACTTTTCCTTGGACACTTCAGAGTTCTCCCGCACTAACGAATTCTCAAGAGCAGTACAGGTAATGACAGTTGATGGCTCAGTGGGGTAGGTACAGTTCTGGGCACTTGCCATTAGCTGGTCCACTGGGCTTCCAGGTGCAGGGTTCTCTTCATATTCTTCCAAAGAAAATGAATTGTCATTATGGAACACAATGGATCCAAAGGTGATACCAATAACTGAAGTGTCTGTATTAATGCCAGGCAATTTGGAAGACTTTTCTCCTACACTATTAATCAACTCTTTGTTTATTCCATTTATCAGAACGTTGCTGCATAAATCCTTGTTTTTATCTCCTCTTTCAATTGAGTCACATTTTTCTTGTTCATTTTTCTCTGCAACAGGGGCAGAAATGTAACAACTATTACTAACACTGTTGTTGGACTCCTCCACAAATGATAAACTTGTTGGACTGTTAGAAGGCTTTTGAGTAGATTGTACAGGTGCCATTTCACCAGCCAATTCTGCAACACTATCAATGTCAACAATTCTATTGTCACTATCTTTAAGAGAACCAATTGTGTTTGGACTGACCTCTGTTGACAATTTAGTGTTTAAAGTTTGTTCACTCTTTGGACTAGCACCTTTCACTTTGCTTGCGTATGAGAATTCAAATTGGGGGATGGGATCAGTGTTGGGGGTTGGCTGCGGTACTGCTGCCAATTCTAAATATGATTGGGAACTTGGAGGATCAGTACTGATAGAGGAGGCGGAAGATTGACTTCCACTGCTGTTGCCTGGTCCACTAAAATTTGTGGAACCAGTTTCAGCATCGTCCTGTACAAGAGTCATATTATTTGGTTCACTTTTACACTTTCTCAAACTGCTTGATGCTAAATAAGTAGACATCTTTTCCTTTGGATATGATGGTACCATATTGCGCGGAAAAGATGCAGACTTATCCTCAAAGATGACACGTTTCTTTGCTGCTTTCTTTTTCTTTGACTCAACAACTTGAAAGTCATTTTCATCAGTGTCATCCTCTGATGAGGATGCATTCTCTTCAATATCAAAGCTTGCAGATTTCCTTAGCGTATCTGTTTGTGCATTTATAACTTTCGATTTCAATTCCTTAACATCACTATCACTGTGTGTTGCATCTTCATACGTTTCAACTTTATTATCACCAACAGTCTTCTTCCTCTTTTTCTGAATCTTTTTGTCTTTGACATTGTTCTTTGTTAATCCAAACATATCTATAGCCTCCGGGTCTGTTATCCAATCAAATTCAACTGAGGAAGATGTCTTTTTCCCACTATCTAGAGGGGGCTTTTTTCTTTTGTTATTGTCAGTATTTCCTATTCCAAGAATTGGTACATTAGGTTGTGACTTCTGGTCAGAATTTTTCTCTATTGCACTATCATGGTATTTTGCATTATGTTTTTCTTGTAATCTCTTTTTGATATTTTGGTTACGTCCCTGCGAATACCCATGAGAAGTGCGGTTCGTAATTATACTAGGAGGAACAGTCGGAGTTATCTCGCGTTTTTTTTTCGTTCGACAATTTTTGCTTGAAGATTTATCAATATTGCGGATGCCTTCAGCGGTCAGGTTAGGCTCATTATCATGGTCATTAATGTAATCTTTCAAATGAGTTTCAATAGATAAGTCTTTCCTTTGAGCCAATGCAGATTTAAGTTTGCGCTCTGGTTCACTTAAAGTTGCATCTTCTTCTGCTGGGTTAGCATCTTCATCTGAAAAAAGAGAGATTTAACTAAATTCTTCTTACCACTATTTGCTTAATATAAAAACTGTATATCTTTGATTACAGCAAACAACCAATAGTAATAATACTTTATTGTAATACTTTTTGTGTATTTGAAACTATGAATTAAAACTAAAAATTAGTACATTTATTCATATTATTTATTTTCCAAATCCAAACTAATTTACACAAGCATCACTTTTAGGTTTAAAGATGTCTTAGATATTGAAGAAGCCCAAAAATTTAATCAAAACATTTAAAAGGATCTGTGAAGGTTTGTATTTCTTTGTGTGGAGACGATCAGTAGGAATATTTTAGAAAGTCTGTGTTGCATTCAGCACATGTATAATGTAACATTAATACTGAAAATTTGTACTGTAGCTTACCTTTTTTCTTTTTCTTTTTTGGTTTCTTCTTCCTTTTGCTTCCTTCTGAGTCTCCAAGTAGTTCATCAGACAAGATGTGATGGTTGTTGCTTAGCACCTTCATATCCACATCATCAGAGCGCTCCTTGACTGAGGTGGCAGGAACTTTTGCATTATCATCACAAACACTACTTGTTGATTTAAGGATGGATTTGAGATCTCTGCTTGATTGCATAGTATTCCCACTAGAGTAATAATTTGTTTGTACTTTACGTCTTGGGTCTTCCTGGATCGGGGTTTCCAGTGACGTGTTCATTATTTGCATTTCAATTTCTTTGCTACCACCATGCTTATCATCAATAAGCGACATTGCGGTCTTGGTTAGCTTGTCAGTGTTTGGGGGGTACTCAAATGGTGGTTGAAATGTACCAAAATGCCGATTCCCAACATCATCTGTACATAAACTACTAGTTTCGGAATAATTCTTTGAGGGCTTATTATCCATAATAACAATTTCTTGCAACTCATCTGGGTCTGTGGTACAGTTCCCAATAGATGAATCCGGCTTAAGATTATTCACGTCAATTCCAATTTCAATTCCATTTTTATGCACGCTTTTTAATCCACGCTCATTTATCAGCGATTGCTCAGAAGATGTAAGATTTCTTTCTAAACCACACTTGCCCTTCACTTTCTTTACATTATTCTGTGCAAAGACATCAAACATAATCCCTGATGAGACATCAGTGGCCATGGTTTTACTAGTCTTTGTGTTGTCATCCATTTTGGTGACCTTTCCTTTTTTCTTTTTCTTTTTCTTCTTTCTTATATTATCTGAAAAATGTTTCACCTGATCATTTTCTTGGTCAAAATGAGAACAGACATCTGTATTTGGAGGACTCTTTTTGACATCAGTAACCAATGCGAAAGAGGACTTACGATATTGACTTTGCTGAGAATGTATATTCCTTATAAATAACCTGGCCGAGGTGGTCAACCCTCCAGAACTCAGTTCATGATTGCTAGGAAGTTCAGATCTAGAACCACAACAGTCATCTGATAAGGTCAATGACCTCTCTCCAAAATTCAGGCTATCACTTGATTCATCAGAAGTATAATTAATTGCTTTTTGATTATGCGACCATTGCTCATCCTTAAGATTCACAAAGGAAATCCTACTGTACGTGTGACCATCATCATCAATGCTATCCAAACCTTCGGTAAGCGAAATTTCACTTGGTTCTGACGCGATAAAATGAGGACCAGGTTTAAGATTATCCGCCGGTTTGGTTCGGCCGCAGGCATTCAAATCCAGCGAATTCTTGATATCAAGTGATGATTGCTTGCATCCTAATTGCACACATGAGTCTTTGGAATTTACTGGTTGGCAGTGATCCTCCAGAGTTGCTTTATCATGAGATGCCAGTGAAGAGATACACACATGACCAGATAGATTAGTAGACTCTGGTGTAGCCAGTTTGCTGTTAATACAAGAACTTGTAGGAAGAGAATTCACTGTTTGATTAGATTCCACAGAATCAATTTTTTGTAACTGCAATTCTATTTGATGAAAGTTCTCATCTGTAAGTCTAGCTAATTCTCTAGCCCTTTCTTTGATTTGATCAACCTGAAAATAAAAAACAAACACAAAGTATTTAAAATTAAAAACATTAACAGCTTATATTGCTCCAAAACTTTACAGAAAAAATACTGTTCTGATAGTATAATTTCACTGTGATTGAAATCAAACATATAAAGTAAAATTATATATTTTGATACCAATAAAATAAGATCATTAATACATTTAACTATTTCTTTGACTAAATATTAATTAATCAAGTCATGTAAAATGAAGCATAGTTTAAAGTAAAATAATTATTAGAGAAAGTAATCTTCTCTACTAAATTTTATTTGTACAATATCACTTGCAAAATAATGTCTAAATGATAGATTACTATTATGGAATGACTATTTTTAAAAATTGAGGTTTATGAAATGAAAATTAATAATATTAATATTGTTAGGGTGAGACTGATACATGCAACAAATACAGTTCAAATATTAATTATTAAACAAAACTGGAATAAGAGAAATACAAGACAACATGTTAAATTAATTTGTCACTTAGCAACTTGTCCTTGAGGAGATTTCCAATATTCAATCAACAAACATATTCATAACTGGCAATGCCATAAAAATTAATTATATATTCATGTTTGTTACAATTGAATTTTAAATAATTCAAAAGAAATCCCTAGAGCCCAGCACACACTATGGTCAACGACAAATCCACCTCCGCTTTGTGTAAGCGTATCAGCTTTGCGTGAGCGAATGACGGCGTGACGCAGTCTTCTGATTGTAGGTGGCTGTCCCGCCTCATTACGCTCTCCATGGAATCGCGCCGAAAATCGTCTGCCCACGTTGTGTGTGCCAGACTTTAGAAAATTCTACAATTAAGGACCATGAATGTAAACAATCAGTGGGTAATAAAGTTTGAATACTAAAATAAAAAGGATTTTCAAGTAGTCTTATTTATTACAGTGTAAAAATCCTACAGTAGCAATATCTACTCAATATAGTGTCAATGTGAATTATGAACAGCCCACAATTAAGTGTGCAGCATGGAAGTTCCATATTTTCTGACATTACCTTTATGATATTTATATCACTTGTAAGAATAATTGTAAGTGCTATTTACATTTGTGTGCATTCCTATGCAAAGGTCATTATGGTATGGCTCTCTAAAAATAGTGCAACCCTAAAAATTGTAGGCAATATTACAGTATATCATAGTATAGCATACCAAATTTAGAAACTTTGGTTTAAATTCAGCAATAAAAGAATATTTAAATCTGGAAAATCTCCCAAAAATTCAGATATAGTAAATCTATACATTCATTGGATTTAAGTAATTCCATGAATATTCATAGAATACATAAGACATAAAGACATTGTTCTTAATTCGGCAAGGATGTGTTTCAATGCTAACAATCTATAATAAAATAATAAATAATATAATAATCTATAATAAAATAATAAAAGTCTATAATAAAAATGATTGGTTTGATTCCATGCCATGCTATGTCAAAAAAACAAGAATCACAAACCTGGGCCCCACACAAGCTTACAGTGTTACACGCCCCCAGTTGATACAGGTCAGAGCAAGATGGAAGTAATATGAAAGAGTATTCAGCAACAAATGTATTTTTTATACAGGAGTAGAGTCTGCAATTGGAAAAGAAACCTAAATGTAAAATCATTTCAGCTTGGATATCGGCATTGAACATAAATGACGGACACGGGACAAAACCAAAATTAAATAAAATAATAATATTGTATGTAACAAATACTGTAGTACAGTAAATCAAAATGGAAAGGATACATGTTTCAAAACAATTAGATAGAGTACTTCATATAATACTAGTTTTATAGTGAATGAAGTTTAGCTATAACTAGCTCAAATGACAACTATAAAAATAAATATTAAATTCTATGAATTAGCATAAATAAGAATGACTTGCTCCTTAAAATACTTGCATCATATCTTTGAGAACGAAAAACATCTTTTTGACCATGTTATTTCTGATGAAAAGATTGAAATAAAGTTTATCTCTATCTGTTACAGTAACTGAAAAAATTATTATAGATAAAATTAATAGGAGAAAATGGAAGAGATTCATAATTCAACATCTATACAGCCAGAGTATTATAATTGTCTATTATTATATCATTAACTTAACCTGAATATCATTAGAGACTCACCAAATTAGTAAACAGAAGTAGCAGGCCTTTAATCTAATTGGGATCTAATTTGTTTTCGATGTCACTGCTTAGTGTGCTCTCATTTCAAAGTATTTAAAGCACATTTTTAGAATGTACCAGGGGGTTTAAGCGGGCCAAAAACAATATTTATCAATTTGGCTAATTTGGTATGAAAATAATTAGTCAAAAGAAATTTGATTAACCAAAAACAAAAGAATATAATCAATAATAGAAATAATTCCATTAGCTTTTTGGCTAATTTTGAATGGAAATTAGCAAAATTCAGCTTTATTAGGATTTGGCTATGACAGCTTAACCACTGCAGTGGTGGATTTTATTAAATGTGTATAAACTTTAATAAAAGAATGTATTTCAATTATTGAATCAATATTCTGACCTTAAATTCCGATGTTGAGCTCAAAAAATTCTTAAATTCTAGGCCTATCTAACCTACTCAATAAGTATACTGATCAGGGAGGTTCTGATCATCACTGCATGTGATTGCCAACCACTGTGCAGTGTATACTAGGAAGTTCAAATGGAAACTAATTTTCGTACCATGACATACCACATACATGCCAAGTTTGAGTTTGGCTGTGGATGGAGATTTGCACAGGAACGAAACAATTTAGGCGTGGGTCGAGGGCCCGCCCAGGGCCCCGGAAATTTTTAGGCCTAGATGCTCTTTGGTGCACTCTGAGCAGATCTCTAGTGCTCAAATTAAATCTTAAAAATGGGGTAATATATACTAACATTTTTTGAAAAATAAAATTCTATAGCTTTATTTCAGTGTTAAAACTCTTAACTTTATTTATTTTTTCAACAAAATTTTCAAAATACTCAAATACACGTTTTACATTTGACAAACAATTCTTTTGGTAAAACAAGTTAAACAGAAAAGCAGATCTGTGTAAAAGAGATTCTGAAGCATCATTTGCTCTCTTTTGATGAATGTAACTGGTTGTATGCCCAAGTTGCACCCTTAGCTTTCTTTAAAATAGAAATGACGTAATGTGTACAGCGCCACCAGTGTTAATTTTACACGAATACATTGTTTACTATCGGAACGGCATGTATTTTCGCGAAGCGATAGAACTTTCGTAGATTTTATATGCCTTATAAAACTACAGAATTGTCACGTTTTGGATATTTTTGTATTAAATTGTGGGTTTTTATAAAAAATCTTGAGATTATTAGAAAAGCTGGAGATTTTAGGCTAGTGGCGGGAGAGCTGGAGGTTAGGGCGAAAAGCGGGAGTCTCTCGCCAAATGCGGGAGACTTGGTAGGTATGATACCACGATGTTCATTCATCATTAATCAATGTGTTTGAATCAATATTAGGCCTACAGGAAAATAATTTGTTAATAAAACATTGATAACATTGTTCATTTTGTAGGATGCTTGAATACCATACAAAATTTAGGAATATCATATGAGTGAGCACTGTATGTGTGTAAACGTCTCTCTCTTAATCTGTCCTGGTCCTACAGCTAAGGTAGGCTGCAGGCTTATGGCGCCTAGCCTAAGCTTAGCTACTGTAGCCTACACAGTGGCTGTAGGCCTATCTAACCTAGGCCTAGAACTTACGATACAATATATTCAGCTATTGTACGATATTCCTCTCATGAATAAATTTAGGCCTTTTGCAATTCGCGAAATTTTCATGTCACAAAAAGGGCCGAAATTATCAATTCGCGAAAGTGTCTGGTTTTACAGTATCTAGGCTAAGCCTATGAAGAATGTAAAAATATCAACTTTTTTACAATAGTTGATTCTAAAAACGGTTAAAAAAAAAAATGATGTAGAGAAATGCCATCAAACGGGCTGAAAAGCTCTAAAACCCTGGAGCGCAAGGGGGCTAGTCCCGACTTAACACCAATGGGGTCGTGTAGGCCCCCTATACCCCTGGCCTATTTGAATTTACTCTCCTGTTACTTCCATATTTCTCCTGCTACTCAAATTCATAAACCCCTGTTCTTTATTAATAATTAAATAAATACCATTACAGTAAACTATAATTCAATACAATACTCCAATAAATTATAATTTTAAATTTAGTCTAACAAACAAATATTGTAATGTCCTATGAAAGATCCGTATTATGTCAATTTTATGATTGTCTTTTAAAGAAATTTTCAAATAAAATCAAGGGTGATAAAGAGATTGAAATTTTATTTTTTGGTGATTTGCTTATACTAGTTCATTAAACTGACCATATACCAGTCAAAGGACAGTGCAATATAGATAGAACTGTATAGTATTTGTAATGTAAAATACACAGTATACAGTATATCTATTAATTTTAATTTCTAATTTTCAATTGAAAAATATTAAAAACAGTATAAACATTTATAGAATAAATGTCAATCAAAGTAAGTAATTAGAATATAATTAATTTCCAATTTGATTTTTTTTAAAACTACAGACCATGCAATTATTGTTTATGTTAGTTGGCGTGACCTGTGAATACTTTATATAGACAGCATGTGAACCTGCAGCTGACAGGCTCTAGTATGGTTACTGTAACTGTGACTATATAAATCAAATGCCAATGTAGACAGTCAATATGTATACTCTGTCAAGGATGTCAACAAAATACCACGTAATCAATGCTAAATACAATCTAAGATTTTACTAACCTACGACCTATTACCTATGAAGGATGGGTATGACATCTTAAAAAGTCATTTTTTTTTCATTAACAAAACTTCCGATCGTTATACCATGTTTATTAACAGAGTATCTGTTGATTATTATTACAGTAAAATATCCCAACTACAAACATCTCGATTTCTACGAACTTGATTTGTTGCGATGACGTCATTACAAACAATGTTTCTAACTACAAAAACACTTAAAAATGTATTGTTACATCAGCTAAGAAAACATTTATACCAATAAATTGACATAAAATTTTGTTTCAAGCAAGAAATATTAATCGTTGTCAGTCGAAATATATTCCATTTTGAACTGTGCATGCTTGTCTTTTCAGTAGGACTAGAGAATCTCACTTTTTGTTCATTTGGATTCGCATCCTTTACGAAGAGAATAACACTCATTTTTGCTATTAATGGTGAAAATAATTTTAATACTTTACAGTGAATACAATTTTAGCTTCTGTCCAGTATTATTTTGTTACAGAAAACAGTAAAATCAAAGTCATATTTTTTGACAAAAATTTGCTCTCATGGCAAGGCTTAGGCCTACCTAGCCCTGGATATTTATCATACTGTACAGGTTGCCCTGTCTCAGTCCCTGGGTCATGGTGTACGATCGCGAAATACGATCAACTTTTGTAAACACACAAAGGCTTCTGGCCTCTGCTACATATAGTGGGTGTGCTTTCTGTCTATTTATTTTGTTAAACTATAGTCAAATATAATAAATTCAGACATTATTTCTACTTTCACAAATTCACTGTATAATCGGAGTACATTTTTTTGAGATGTTGTTGCAGTGCTTAGTGCCAGCGCTGACTGTTCCATTTTGTTTTCAAGGGGTTTTCTCATGTGTGAGAAAGAATAGGCAATTAGTTGTTTTATCCAGGTTTTCATGACATAGACTCTTTTTGAGATGTTGTTTTCAAAAGGCTGTTGAAACAGGCTGATTTTGCTATTGAGACATGCGCAAAAATAGGTACGAAATACCAGGGACAAATTGAAATTAAAGGCCATTATTCTACAAACCACATTAGAAAATGATCCAGAAAAAATATTTATACCTCTCCTCTGATTTCTCAAAAAAATATAAGTCTGCTTAAGCAATATCTAAACAATGTCAAAATTATTAGTGTTAGTCGTTCAAACAAAACAAAACAAGTAAGAAATTTAAATACCATTACAGGGATGTCACCAGCTTTTTAGAGTGCCGGTCGGCGATCATCCCGCGTTTTCCCGGGGAAGGGGGTCGCTGTATTCGTGAAAGCTCTTGAAAACCAAAAGGCCTAAGTCAAGCAGGCCTAGGCCCAAGGCTAGCTGACGCGATTTTTTTAGGCTAGGCCCAGGTAGGCCTAGGCCAGAATTTGAGGAATGCAACAAAACAGATGAAGATGAGACTTACTGTAGGCCTAATTAAATTCAATAGTTGACATGCTTTGATTTAGATTAAAAAATATTAATGAACAAATCCCGGCGACAAAGCGTCGATCCGACTGTACCAGCCGCTTTGTTTGCCATAATTTCATATGTTTGACAATTACCACGATGAATGTGTATGCCACTGATTCATGTGCACTCATGTATTTATTTTTTGTCCATTTACACATTATATATCAATTATAACTAAAAGTGAAAAACTTAAATACAAAATGAAAACAAAGTAAAGAAATAAAACATAAATCAGGTTTCGTAAATTTTTAATAATCTTCTTGCCCCGGATCATGCTCTCATAATAAAACACTTGAATGGTCACGATTTCAACTTTAACCTTTGAATGTGTACAGCAACCATGTCATGCCGGCCCACGACGTTCGCTATGACTCAACTGGGCCTAGGCTGTTCAGTTAGCAATGAATAGCAGGGCAGTGCAGTTTTAATTTTTACAATTAACGTAACCACGGAAACATTTATTGTATTCTTCTTGTCTTCATCTATCAATTTAGCTTGTCTATTGTGTTTAGGTAAACTAATTATTTTGTTACAATTTGTAAACTGTTGAAATAATAGTGGTGGTCGGGAGCCTGTAAATCCTGTTCGGAAATGTTGAGTGCTGGACGGGCCCGTCCACCGCCGACCAGCGTGGCGACATCCCTGCCATTATAATTATCTAACTGAAATATAAATACTGTATATTGATACAAAATGATCAACACCCACTCTAACGTAATAGAAATAAGTAATTTCAATGTTTTTGTTTACGAATAATATAATATCGGTCAACCTATAGTAGTACCTACAAACATCACAATTTGGAAAAGGTTTACTGTTTTAACAGTATAGATTAATATCAGTATTAATTATAGGGTAGAAAATCTTGTTGCAACTTTAAAAAATAAATCAATACAACAATTTTCACCTCACAATCATTACACTTAATCGAAAATTACATAAATGGTGTACAGTACTGCCAGTGGTAATAGTAAGTTTCACAAAATTGAAGGTTGGAATACACTGTCACTTTGTTGTCTGTGAATATATTTTATAAACAGCCTTGTAAGAATTTTGAAGTGTTTGGGTTACATGGTTCAAAAGACGAATAGTAATATTAAAAAAAAAAAAAAAATAGGATTGTTTGACAGTTTCATAACCCACAAAAGTATGAAGACTTATTTCCAGTATGATCCTTCTCATGTGATTGGGCAGTAGAAGTGCGCTTTATAAGGAAGAGGTGCATTATATAGTAAATGCCTATACCAGTACCAGTACACCGGGAGACAATCCCCTACTCTTTGAAGAGTGAGCTGTGTTCTTTTACGTGCACTTGGGTCATATTGCACACAGGACAAATGGCTAATAAAGGATAAATGGTACAGCACACACACACACTGGCTAACACCAGTTTAGCCAACAGAGTTAAAAGGGAAATAGAACCTTAAAAAAATCAAGCCAAGCGTCCACTATTGAAAAATTATTGCACTGTGGGGGATAGGCAAATAACACCGGGAGTTGCAGTGATGACGTCACGATTGACTTACAATAGGAATTAAAACTCAATATAGGCTACGGTATGAATCATGTCTATTGCTTCTTTTATTTGCTTTCAATGTCTCTACTTGGTAAAAATGACAAAGTAGTTGCTGTTTCTCATCAGCCATCTTGGATCTGCCATCTCAGAGTAAAAAAAAAAGGAAAACAAGTGCCCTCATTCTCGTTTTTTCAAAATATTAGGCAGGAAACTACCTTTATCTTTTTAATTGGCCATAATTTAATGAATGTTCATCACTCAAAGAAAATTTCAAAGATTAATTTTTAATGTTGTTTTTGGGAGTGTGTGTAGTAAGTCAGTGATCAGTGTTTAATACCCTACTAAACTAGCAAGAGTCTGAGCCAATATAGGGGTTTCTGGACAAAACGGCAAAAAATCAAAACGGCAATGACCAAAATGGCAATAAACCAAAACGGCAATGATAAGTACCAAAACGGCAACAGACCAAAACGGCAATGTCAACTACCAAGACGGCAAATAGGCATAAACCTAAACGGCAAAGGAGCAAAAATCAATACCAAGACTGTAGTGCCACCGGCTGCGGGCAGTAGTTGATAATTTTCTGAATTGTTTTTTTGTTTTTGTTTTATTTTACACATCCATGACGAATTATTTCGTTAATTTAAAGTGGTATTTATTATTATTATTATTCTTTTTTCTTTCCCGTTTTTTTACTTTCATGACATAAATTGTTTAGCCTCATATTATCTGTATTTTAAGGTTTTAGTTTATGTTCACTGGTTTTATATTGTGTTCCCTCAATCTTTCTTACTATTGAATTTATATGTTGTACTGTTGTTGTGTTGTGACTATTATGATTTTCATTATTATTATTATTATTAATGATGTTGTTCTTTCGCGTCTTTTAGTTATGACAATTTAGCCTCATTTTAACTGTGTTTACCGTTGTACACTTTCATGTTTATAATTGGTTTTATGTAGTGCCACATTGGAATTAAGTTTTACTTCAAAGAAAACTTCCATTTTTTTGTCCTGCCTTGTGTGAACTTTATCTGTTTTGTACAATGTTTTGATAATAAGAAATAAACTGAACTGATGATATACTAAAATAAATATTGAATCAGAACGGTCTGTTGATTTTATTTGAGTTGTATCATTCTGGAAGTGTTGCTGTTTTGGTTTATTGCCGTTTTGACTTATTGCCGTTTTGACTTATTACTGTTTTGGTCCATTGCTGTTCTGGTCTAAAAGTGTTGCTGTCTTGGTTTTTTGCCGTTTTGGTCATTGCCGTTTTGACTTATTGCCGTTTGACCTGTTCCCAATATAGGCCATGAATTAAGCGATGTCATGCGAGAACGTGCAGTTTAAAAAAATTATAAAGTCATCGTAGGACCTACCTACCCTAGGCTAGAAAAAACAATAATTATTGATTGTATGTAGTGGGAAATAAATAACTTGGCCTAGCCCTAGGCTATGCCTAGCCTAGGTCTATGTGAGCCAAGTAACAATAAATATTATTAACAATATTTAAATCAAAGACATATTTTAGTATCAGTATACCTAGATAAATCTAGGTTTAATGAAAATTCTAACTAGTAGCCTGTGCTAGCCTAGCTACATTAACAAATGACCCTGACTCTCATTGAGATTCAGAAACAACCCTGGATCATGTGGTTTGCTAGGTTCACCGTTGTTGTTTGTAATTGAGCCTCTTTTTTATGTACCATGATTATCTGATTTCTTTGTGTCCCAACAAAAATACACTTGGTAACAGACCAACAAAAAAATTATGGCGCTGAAAGGTCACATTTAATAATTTCTTCTTCATTTCAAGACCAGTCTTCCAACGTACATTGCACGACCCCATCAACACAATGCGCCGTTCCTCTCTCTCTCTCATCACCACCACCGCCCTTCTCCTATCGTAACCCTAGCTCAACAAAATACAAACCTGTATTGTGGTCAAATTCTTTGGCATGACTTCATCATATATTTCAAGAAATTTCTCAGCATCTTCCTTTTTGATTGCAGCAGCTAATTGGAGAGACAGATGGCTAAATTTCCACCAATTATTAGAAATACGACAACCTTCCATTTCATTTTAGATCGGCCATTTTTAAAGATGTTGTTATGCACAATACGCATGCTCGGAATGCAAGTGTAGCCGCTTTGAAACAGCTGCCTACATCGATCTCATTTTTTTGGTAAAAAAACTGATATTCTTGTTTTTTTTATGATAGGTATCCATAAAAACCTAAAGGCAGGGCGTGGAATTGATTAGAATTTGTAATCAACTATTAATTATCTAAATACTGTATTCAATATTCACTTGAGTTTGCAAAAAAACACGACCGGACAATAGAGCCTAACTATTATTAAAAAGTCAACGTGACGTAGGGGGCGATTTAATCTGTATGAGCTGATGATTAATTTTTCCTTTGGTAAACGTTGATTTTTAGTCGCTAAGAATGTCTGAAAATGTATTTTTATTCGTACCAAATGTTATTGGTGAGTTACATTGTTGTGTATGATATTCAATTATTTGAAACTTTAAAAATTAAAGTAGCTGCTTGTAAATTATGCTATATTATAGACAAATTATATATAAATTAACGCAGAGACACACACAGGACCTAGGCCTAGCTAGGTAGGCCTGGGCAGGCTAGGCCTAGAGAGAGGAGGATAAGGTTTCTGCTGTATTTTTTTCAACTGGTAATTGACGACGATTTGTTTTTAAGACAGGGTCCTAGTAGGTAGCTTAGTTGAGACTTCGCAGAGCTTTTGTTCATCATATGTGCATGTTTGTCATCATTATAATAGCATACAATAGAACCCTTTGTATAGTATTAAAGCCCCATTCCCGGCAAAATTTCAATTTTTAAGAAAAATCTAATTTTTGTATAATGTTATAAAGATTTATAAATATAATACGGAATTGCTAGTTTAACTGAATTTAAACATTCCTAAGAATGAAAAAAATGTAAAATAAGACTGAATTTTGATTTTTTTTTTGTGTTCCACACAAAAAATAAATGCGGATGAATTTTAATGCCAATATTTTTCCATGATTTATAATAATTTGAGTAATGCAAATGCATATTTTCTAAAAAAAGTCATTTTTAGTGAAATTTTGCCGGGAATGGGGCTTTAAGCCTTAATAGGGGACAACTTCGGGACCCAAAAAAGTGTCCCTGTGTTTTTGGGCCTGAATGAGTAAGGGTGAATAGGCCTTTTTCACGAATCGGTAGACGACATGAAGTGATGACAAACATTGCGAATCAGCGGTGCGTAACCAACAGAAATAAGATAAGCTTTTGGGCTGATTTTTTGACATCATGTTATTTAAAAAATCATAACTCTATAACAGGGCGTCGTATCCAAAAACTTTTTCCAGCAAAATGTTCTTAAAAGACTAGTCTACACCACTATATGATTGAAAAAAAAATTGAAACATTTTTTTGATCTCTGAAATCAAGATTGAAAAAGAAAAGCCTATCTCATTAGTGTATTAAAATAGGTATATGCATTACAGTGCTGTAGTACTAGTAATTCTCTGAACTAGCATTGTTTTAGTTACCATATGAGAGTTTCCTGTGTTAAAAACATGATTTACTATACTATACCTCTTTATAAAACATAACTTGTACTTTATATTAAGAGAAATCTGTATATTATCACTACTTGGAACAGTAACAACACGAAAGTCCTATGCTACTGCACTGTAATGCATAGGCCTATTTTAATACACTACTAAGATAGGCTTCTCTTTTTCCATCTTGATTTCAGAGGTCAAAAACATTTTTCCATTTTTTTTTCAATATGACGCCCCGTTATGGAGTTATGATTTTTTAAATAACATGATGTCAGAAAATCAGCCCAAAAGCTTATCTTATTTCTGTTGGTTACGCACCGCTGATTCGCAATGTTTGTCATCACTTCAAGATGTCTACCGATTCGTGAAAAAGGCTTATAGGCCATAGGTATCATAGGGTGTTCCCTGAATGAGGGTGTTCCCTGAGTGGGTATGTCCCTGATTAGGGGTGCTACCTGAATATGGGTGCTCCCTGAATGAAAGGATTTACCAAAAGGTAGGAGTGGGTGCGGGGTGAGGGTTCTACTGTAGGCATATTTCAACTGGTAATTGGCAACAATTTGTTGTTTGATGAATAGGGAATAATAATTAATAAAAATATACAAAAAAGTTGATTTTTATTTGAAATTATTTTTTTTTTATAGGTTACATGAGAATTGTTCTGGCATTGGCTGCCTTTTATTTCATGACAACTAATTATGTGATAACGTCATTTTGTTATCTGTTGAGTGGATTACTTGATGCTTTTGATGGACATGCAGCTCGACATTACAATCAAAGTTAGTCGCAATGTCACTAATAATTAATGCACCATACTGAAGAACAAGTACTCTATAATAATTATAGGTGACACTTTATGTCATAAATGTTCTTTGTATTTTCATTTTATTCTGTCTGGTGTGTTTGTAATTAGCCGTAAAACATATTTATAAGATATGTATCTTAGTGCCAATTTGTACTAATTTTTTCATGACTATATTTTTTTGTACGTTATTTATGATATTGTTACTGATACAGTATGATTAAATTTTATTATAAACGAATCTAAGAAGAATGGCGCCCTCTTTTGTCGATGCCATTACTGGAGAGTTCCTACTCCTAAAATGACAATGCGGTGTGGTGCACTATAAACAACTACTGTACTGCGTTGATAAACACAACGCAACATTAGATCTTCCAACTTGGGAAATGGCACCCCAGTACCGGCGCTGACAAAAGAGGGCGCTGTTAGAAAAAGTTTTGTCTATATTTATTATTGATATTATTTATATGTGAAATTTTAGGTACAAAATTTGGAGCAATGTTAGACCAATTGACGGACCGGTTAGCCCTCATGTGTTTCTGCATTGGTCTTTCTGTGATCTATTCTGAATACTACTTCTTGTTCCAGCTAAGCAGTGCTTTGGATATTGCTAGTCACTGGCTTCATCTTCATCAGTAAGCAATAGATTTTTTTTTTTGTAGTATTTAGTTTATGAGAAAGAGCTCTGTATTTTTTGTGATTTAAATGTAACTAATAGTAATACAGTATCAGAAAAAACTTCTAGCTAAGCAGTGCTATGGATATTCCTAGTCACTGGCTTCATCTTCATCAGTAAGTAATGGACTTTTATTGTAGACTTATTTAGTTCATGAGAAAGAGCTCTGTATCAGAAAAACATTTTCATATTTTCTGTAATAAAGTTTATATATAATAATAATAATAATAATATAGATTTCATAAGCTTCAAGTTTCATTTATACCCTAAACTTAATAATAATAACAAATATTTATATAGCGCCAATTCAAAATTTATCAAAGGCGCTAAGTGAGGAAATACTGTATAAGGCAAGTTAACATTCCTGTAATAAATTAGTTTTAAGATTTTTCTTTAAATAAAGCAAATCAGACGAATCGTGAACTGAAAGCAGCAAGGAATTCCATGTAAAACAGGCTGAAAAGAAAAGGCACATTGACCATAAGTTTTTGTTCTGCCTTAATTGAGACGTAACTATCAAGAGATTTTTAGATGAACAAAGAAGATGGTGAAGAGGAATATAGTGGGTAATAAGGTGATTTAGTAAATTGACAGGTTGATAAAAACCAAGAGACTTAAATTAGTGTGTAATGTACTAAACTTTCTGTAATAAATAAATAACTGGATCGATGAGGTCAAAAAATTAAGCTGCATTATCCGAAAGTGAATTATAATACCCTATGTGATTCGATGAAGAGATGCCTGCATTTGAATGATGCTCCTCTATGTGATTCATATTTTTTTTTTTTTGTAGGTCAAATTTGTCTGGAAGATCAAGTCATAAGTTGATTGACCTCTCTGGTAACCCCATCCTTCGCATTTACTACACATCAAAGGTAGGCTGATTATTGGTAGTACTGTATATTGTGAAAATGCTTTTTTCTATTATAACTGTTAATGTCATTTTCTGTAATTCTCCAGAAGACGATTGAAGCAACTCAATCGAAACATCGAGACTTTCTCAACTACAACAGTTCTTTTCAGAACTACCTATGTGGTGTACCACAAGCTTCAACATTAATGTCATTTTCATCATCATTTTTGCTTCCATGGTACATTATACATTAGAGATCAATCTCGGTGACTGATTTGCGCACATGGGAATACCTAATATACAATCTCTAATTGTGTGGTTCTTGGTATTTTTGGTACTATTAAATAATTTTTATTAGATTATTTTTATTTTTAGTTTATTACCTCCGCCAACGAAGTTGGCAGGTGGTTATATATTTTTCCCCTGTTTTTTTTTTATTTAGTTATTTATTTGTCTGTCAGCATGTTTGTTGTGAACAGCCAACAGCACATAGTTTTTATCAGAAATTCATCAAACTTGGCCACAATGTTCCTTTTCCTAAGATCTAGAACTGATTAAATTTTGAAAGGTCAGAGTCAAAGTTCAAGGTCACAATCAATGAAAAACTATTTTTATAATTTATTTGTCAATAGCCCATCACAAACTTGTCAAACTTGGTCACAATGTTTCATGACCAAAGATCTGAAATTAATTGAATGTTGAAGGGTAAGAGTTAAAGGTCAAGGTCACAATCACTTTTTATCAGAAATTGTCAAACTTGGCCACAACGTTCCTTTACCAAAGATCTGGAAGTGACTAAATTTTGAAGGGTTAGGGTCAATGGTCAGGTACACAATGATCGAAAAACTTGTATAACTGTTTTTCGTATAGACGTGTGTTTGCTTATACGGGCTTGTCGGTAAAGTGTAAACAAACATGTGACCATTAATTTCAAAGTGTCTAAGTCTGGGGTCCGGGGAAATGTTTGTGCTCCTGAATATATTTACCGGTACTCTATAATCTTTTTGGCTTTTGTCTTTCAGCCAGTATTATTCATCATGTGCTGTGGTAATGAGTTATACTTTTGCATGCTCTACCTTGTCTATTTCACGGAAGGACCAAAATGTAAGATGTTTTCATTTTATGCAGTGCGTGTTTATTCAACAATTTGTGTGATATGTTTTTAGAAATTCTTGTGCATCATAGCTAGAGGGTTGAATGTGAGAACTCACATTTCCACAGTTCTGAAAATTATACCTATATTCACAAAAGAGTTTAACAATCTATTGAAATGCTCAAGGGTTTTGTTGTTGTATCCTCCTGGAAAGCTCTTCAGCTTGCTGGAGGCTAGGTAGTGATGATGATTATGTTGATGTTTATGATCATTTGAGGATTATGAATGTATAACCTAATATGTATCAAGGTAATCAGATCTCATGACATTGTTATGACAATGAAGAATATCTGTATCTGTAATGATGACAGCGATGTATCAAGGAGTCTCGAAATGGAGGGTGGCTGATGAGGGG